TATCAATGACAACAAAACTTCAGATATAAGCAAAGTTTTGTTGAGGATCCACATACATCCCCAGGCAGGGTTGTACAAGTACATGATGTAGGTCATTCTTCAGTCTTACGTTTATTACGTAAAAATAAATTTAAATCATACAAAATTAACTTATTGCAAGAATTAAGTGAAGATGACTTTGGTCGTAGATTAGAGTTTACTGAGGTAATAATGGATAAAATTGAAAATTATTAAAATTTCGTTAAGAGAGTATGTTTTTCCGATGAAGCAACTTTTACACTGTGTGGAAGTGTAAATCGACACAATTTAAGGTACTGGTGTGACGTAAATTCACACTGAAGACTGAATGCGTGAAAACCATACACAAAGACCACAAAAATTAAATGTATGGTCAGATATAGTAGTTACTTATTCAATTGGGTCATTTTTTGTCAAAAGAAATTAGACGTCAGATAGTTGGTGTAAATGATCGGCGATATTTAGATGAGATATTTCCTGGACGATAAATTGGTAGACAAGGTAGAATTGAATGGCCTCCCCGTTCACCCGATTTCAATCCTAAAGATTATTTTTATTACGGATACTTGAAAAATTCAGTTTACAAAACTTAACGAGCAAGTCTTGCAGAGCTAAGGCAACGAATTATCAATGAATCTCGAATAATTTCTAGACAATCATGGAGAAATTTGGTAGACGCCTTCTAACTTCGATTAGGGTGCTGTCAACTCACAAATTGGGCACATCTTGAACACTTAATAACGTAACTACTATGTTAAAAAATGTTCTAAACTAATATCAATTGTTACGTTTTAATGTATTTGAAAATAGTTAGTATTAAAAAATGTATTGAAACAATTTAGGCGTTGCCAGACTTCGGTTTTTTGTACTTATGACCTTCCAGATTACATAAAATCATAAGTGTTACATATGGTTGAACTCGTATTGAATAGGAGATTCTAATAATAACTGAATATACAGGGTGATGTATTTGAAAGACCAAAGCTACTAATAATATAAGAAAAACGGCAAATCTGTAAATATCATATATGGAATCTCCGTATCCCAAAATAGGTGTACCTCAAATTTTGTACAATTATGATTAGCATTTTACGAGATAATTAGCCGTTTCCAGACTTTTGGGCCACTCTGTATATTGGAAAATGCATATATTGCATATTTTATGCAAATATCTGGGGATTTTGCATATTATGTATACGATTATAATTGCAGATAATTAAATTCTACATTACAGAATAATGTAGAATACTTAAATGACACATGCAAAATTTAAGGGATTGATTTAATATAAGTTCCAATAAATTATTCAGGACAGTTGTGAATACAGTTAAAATCACCATAATGATTTTCAGCCTCCGATAGAAAAAGGAACTTTAATAAGAAGAAGTATAAGTATGCAAGCCTGTCTTAATTTATTTCTATCAATTTGAAATAATGCAACCTAATTCCTGTAAAATTAGCACTCATTCGAATATCTCCGCACAGTTCCTTCTTTACTTGTCATTTAAAAATTGATGAGAGAGCGTGACAACGGAACATTTTTGAATGTAATGGGATTGTAACTGTTATGATATATGGATTACAAAACCATCATCATTACAATTGCTTACTCTATGCATAATAAATGAACAGAAGCTCATTACACGATGATATTTAATATCAAATCGAAAGCACATGCCCTTACCTATATTTACAATCCAAGAATAATTTGTTTCAATGGACTGTATAAGAAACGAGTAAAAATACACTTACATACAAGATAAAATGGGACAACATAAAAATCGCAACAACATTGAGATTAATCTCTTTTTATTTAACACTAACAGAAGACACAAAACAAAGGGACGGTATGATAAATGCCAAAAATTTGTACAATGAATTAAAACGTTAAAATTTTTATTAGATTATCATGGCGAACTTTATAGAAGATTTTATTATAGTCAATAAAGCATAAATACATATTCTTAATTATGTCTATAGGTCAGTAAAGCAAAAAAGCTGGAAAAATTTAATTTACGAGTTTCTAAATGAATACATTATTAATTAACCTAGATAACAGCAAAAAACTCTTATTTTGCAGTAATTTAAAAATGTTAGTAACTTTGTTTTTTGCATGCCGACATGTAATATGGCACTATGGTATGGCAATATGGTACTTGGAATTATGGCAAAATAGTTTTTAAGTTATTTAATTTGCTTATCCCGCTTATATTAAAAAAAACTTCCAACTCATAACATAACATACCAAAGTTACTATTTTGTAGAATATTCTGAAGTAGCCCACCTCCAATTCGCCTACTTGACGGGTTGTTCTCTCTCGCCCTCGATATTGCCGGAAACTTCTAGTCACTTTTAGCTTATAAACATTTATAATAACTTAATATTTTTCACGTCATAAAATTTGTAAGCCGGATCACTGAAAAGGTGGTGGAAAAACAAAATCTTGTTTATTAACATTAAGAACTGAACATTTAATTGACTGTAAACGAAGATCTCAATTTTATAATTCATTTTATAGACGACATATACCGAGAAGGAATAGCTGTAATCGGTTAAAGTGATGGTACTCTTAAAATACCGTCTGAAAATACCGTCTAAAATACAACCTGACACTTCAAGTGATCATCAAAGAACGAAGAAGTGGCCTTCATCCTTACAATATCATCTCCACAGATCTGCGAAAATCTTTCGACATGATATCGCATTAATCCATTGAACGAGATATGACTCACTTCGGGTTGGACGCTACATTTAAGCGGTATGTGGCGGACTCGTACCTGAATCGCCGTACGAGGGTCGCTGCCGGGAGCAAGTCCACTCGGTACATCAAGATGTGTAGAGGTGTCAAACAGGGAGATCCCTTGTCGCCCTACCTCTTCAATATGGTGGTCGATGAGCTGATATGCAAGCTTGAGGCGCCTTTCAATTGCAGATGGCAGGAAGAACTCGGTGTTGGGTTACGCCGATGATTTAATCCTCCTGTCCGAATCGGCCAAATATTGTACCAGACAACTTCGGACAGCCGTCTAATTCTTTGAGAAGAGAGGGATGTCGATAAACGCTGGTAAGAGTGCAGCTATTACGGTTAATGTTAACCGTGGTAATAAGCACTCTTACTGCGTAACTCGCTCCCTCTTTTTTGTCGGTAACGACAAGATTCGGCAGCTGCAATCGAGTGAGCTGGTTGGATACCTAGGCCGAAGGTATAATGCTTTAGGACAGACCATGGTGGCCTACAACGAGCTGAAGACACAGCTCGATCGCATTCATCGAGCGGGGCTTAAACCAGCACAAAAACTGCTGGTGCTTAAAACATACTTGTTCCCGATGTATATAGACAAACTACAGAGTCCTACCATCAGTATGAAAACGTTAAAGGGCTTTGACAGGTCCATGCGTATAGGCGTTCGGAAGTTTCCGTCTCTCAATCGTACGTGCGCAGATGCCTACATCCACGCTCCCACCAAAGAGTCATGGTCATGCACGTCCCGACTATTATGAGAAGGAGACTGACTGAATTACGAACCTCAGCTACTGATTCCTCGTACTTAACCCTCAGTCTACCATATATGTCATGTCTCTAGGAGAAGATCGTTAAATGGACAAGAACAACAGCAGGCAATTCCGCATCTATCGCAAGTGAATTGAGCCAGAAACTTGTGGACAACTATAGTGGAAACAGGCTTCACCAGGGCTCTTCACACTCCGAAAGCTCAGCCTGGATAAGCAATCCACCGCTCTACTGGTCGGGGAGAGATTTTGTCAAGGCGATCCAGCTACGAGGAAACCTACTGCCAACTAGAGGCAGTCCTTCAAATCCACCACATGAACGGAGATATCGAAAGGGATGCAAACGTAACGAGAGCCTTAGTCACGTTCTTCAGAACTGCCCAGCATCACATTGGCATCGCATCAGAAGACACGATCAGCTCGTTAAGTATTTACGAAAGGCGGCTGAAAAGAAAGGGTAGATATGCGAGGTTGAGCATATCGGGACTCTTAAGATACCTGACCGTGTGGCGCATCTGGGTGAGTGGGTAATTGTCGTGGGCGTTGTCGTTAGCTAGGAGGGTCCTGAACCCCTTAGTACAACCGCTGCCAATAAAACAGCGCTGTACAGTGAGCCTCGATTCCTTCAGACCATACAGACCCAATATCCAGGGAAACAAATTTGAAATAGTCATTTAATGAGGTCCTAACGTAAATGACTTTTTTTTTTTTTTATTAACAAAATCGCATCAGCCAAATTGGCTATTAGCGAACAATAATTTTTATTACATTTATAATATTAGTTTATATAAAATTTAAAATATTAAGTGAGGTTAAGAAACTTTTTAAATTTGAAATATTGTACTGTAAACCTAAAATGTCACTTAGTTTGTTGGGTATACTGTACAATATGCGCTTTGG